CTCCATTCTCCTCTCGGGATCTTGGGCACGCACGCACATGCGCCCGGCGTGAGTTTTAAGCCACCGGGTCCGGGACACGAACCGCGGTCGTCTACGTGGGAGTCCAGCGACATAGCCATTATGCTAACTGCTGGTTCCCAAGAGATGACGACTTCTGATAACAATGTTCTCAACAGGTTTCAGCAAACTAAAATCAACTGAAGATGTCAACCATTAACATGGTCTGCTCCTGACACATAACTACTGACACTGGCTTGGTGACCCAGGATCACTGAAGCACATCATCCTCCTGACATCTGTCACAATCAAGAACAGCCAAATGAGGGAACCAGCAATTAGCATAATGGCTATGACGCTGGACTCCCACGTAGTCGACCGCGGTTCGTGTCCCGGACCTGGTGGCTTAAAACTCACGCCGGGCGCGTGTGCATGCGTGCCCAAGATCCCGAGAGGAGAATGGAGGAGAAGGAATTGTGGCATGAACATCCCCCTGGGGGGTGATTTCTCGCTTTCTGTCTCTATGTCTCTCTCTGTCTGGCGAGCGCACATACTCTATAGCGAAAACCTCTCCCAAAAAAAAGAAAGAAAGAAAAAAAAAAAGAACAGCCAAATGCCATGTCAGAATGCTTCTGTCCTTCCCTTCACTCATCTCATCATACAGGCGTTTTATCATCTCACATCATCACAAGGATGGGTACAATGAGAGAGTCTGAGAGACAATCACATTCACGTAACTTCTATTACAGTATTTTGATAGGATTTGTTCCATTTTATCATTGGCTGCTATTATTAACCTCTTACTGTGCCTAATCTATCATAGGTATGTACGTAATGGAAAAAAACAGTATATATAGGGTTCAGTAAGAGCCAATTTCGAGCATCTACTGTGGACCCTAAAATGGATCCTCCATGGATAAGAGACCACCCAAGTCTAGTAGGTATTAGCACCTCCAAAAGCAGGTAAGACTAAGAGATTAAGTAAATACAAAAATCATGAAGTAAGTACTGGAATATACACTAGTCCTTACACCAAACTAAAAGACCCAAAACCACTCAATGTCCTAAGATGCCCAATGATTTGTAATAAATTGAAAAAGCAAAATCAATCATTTGGAAAAAGAATAAAGTGATCTCAGTGTTTCTCATCCTTTTCCCCTCCTGTCTAATATACCTAAAGTTTATGAAGCTTATCAGTGTCAATGGCTCATTACAGTAACAGGAACCTGATTTAAGTTCTCATGAAAATTTTTTAGGTCCTTTCATGACCGAGTCATTAATCATCCCTATAACTAACTACAACACTTTGGAAGAACTACTATATCCACTGATCAAACTGGGCACAGAGAGGCTAAGTAAACTGTTCAAGGCTATGACAGCTATTAAGTAATAAGAGAGAGGATCTGAATCTGGGTCCAGAATTAGAGCTCAACTACAATACTGATGCTCAGATGGGCTACATTTCCTTTGCACCTAAAGAACCAGCAAGTTATCATATAAGATAAAGAAGACTAGTATTTAAATAGTGCTTGTCACAAAGACTTGGCTTATGGACTGGTTCTGTGGCCTCATAGTTAAGGTAACTGGCCACCACATGGCCAATTGTGTAGTCTGAGTCCTGGCCCCAGCAGTCTGGGAAACACGTAAGGTAGGGGTGTGTATGTGTGTTTGTGTGCGCGCGTGCCCAAGATCCCAAAAGTAGGGAGAAATGGAAAAGAAGTGATTAAGGCATGGCTATCCCTCAGGGGAGTGCTTTCTCTCACATTGTTTTTTTTCTCTCTGGCAAGCACACACACAATCTATCAAGAAAAGAAAATGAAAAAACCTTGATTTATAAAACAATGAGTGCCTTTAACTTACTTGTTTAACCCTCTAAAATTTTTTCACTGGAGAAAATAGTGCTTTGTTAACAGTTACTATAAAGATGGTACAAGACATAAAAAAAAAAATCTTCAAATTAGTTTAAAAAAAATTTATATAAATCTACTGACTTATATCAGCAGGACCTAAAAGCAGTAAAAAGTCAAGATATTTCTGTGTATTAGTGAACTAGGAGGCTGTCAACTCAAACAGTTTCAATTTTCATCCAATGCTAGGTATAGACTATGAAATAATTTACTTACACAATGATGTTATTGATAGGGATATGGATCAATTTCACAAAGAAACCAATGAATCCCATTATAGCAAATCCTATTGCTGTTGCCATGGCAATCTTCTGGAATTCTGCATTTAAAAACATAAAACCCACATTATTTTCTGTACTGTCACTGAAAGTATGAGGCAAAACTATCAATGATATAAATAAATTTACTGGTGTACATTTCTCCTGATTAGTATACAATTGTTTTTAAACAAGAAAAAGTGAGATTATTCATAACCAACTCGTCTGACATGTTTTTAAATCTCAACATTTTGTTGCTATTTAAGGAAACAGAAGTGCGTATCTGTACTAGTGAATTTATCAAAAAGCCATTAAAATTTTTAAAAATTTTAATCTTATACCAATTTTTACTATGACATATTGATGATAAAAGAAATATAACTTTTTTGATACATTTTGAACAATGGGTCTTTGATACTGTAATGAAGTCAAAAATGAGGCTAGAAACATCAAATTAGGTTGAGTACAATTTTATAAAAAGGTTTCAGACTCTTGTCACATTTTGGTTTTATTTATTTCCTCAGGGAAGCTGTCCCTGACCTCTTCACTTGGCCAGTCCTCTTACTCTGTGCTGTCAGATCTCCTAGTTATCTTTCATGCTTACCACTGCAGTAATTAAAAACGTAATTATACTTGTTTATATCAGACTTCCCCATAGATTCTAGTCTCCTTAAGAGCAAGGATTATTCTCCGTTGTATTCAATGTTTATTTATGAATCATATTATATATATGCAAATATGATCTATTATGTTTCTCAATTATATTCCTACCTCTTACTTAAATAAATGAATAAAAGTAGGTAAATTTCTGGCACACCTTTTAACACATGAATCATGATAAATAACAAAATTAATTTTCTAGGTAGGCAACGACTGTATCATTCATTTCATGCAAAGGATAGTCACTGGTATGCAGACAGAGAGGGAGAACAACAACAAAAAAGTAAAATGTCCAGAGTGAAAATATAAGAGATACAAAAAGGTCATTACACAAGACTAAATACAGCTTGAAAAATAATGCTGCAATAAGTATTCTTACACATTTGAAAATAGATAAAACAGAAAAATTTAGAAAAGGGGTGTGCGAACTTTAGGAAGAAGTAACAATGTAAAAAAAAAAAAAAAAAAAAGCTACAAAGCAAAAATAAAAGGTTGACCAAAGTATGCCAAGTTATTAATCAAGATGTTAATCAAATAAAAAGCCTTTCTGTCATGTTGAAGCTATTAAAAACAAACACACACACAAAAAAACACCTTACTTATTTTACAGAGTGAGGAGACAGAGCTCCATCCTCAACATGATTGTGTCAAACTGCAATACCCCTTCCACCAGCCTTCCAGCCCACTAGGATCAACATGCATGCCCCTGGCTGCACACAGGTGTCCTGGTCACTGGAACCGAACCCAGGGCCTTCTCCTATGACTCCAGTATCATGCAGTGCTGCCCTATTGCCTGTTCCACCACCAGCTGGGTCAAGTTATTACCTTTTCTATCAGGTTTGGTGCATCTTTTTACCAGCCGAATCGAGTCCTTTACAAACTGCCGACTTGGCTCAACAAACTGCATTACCTGATCCATGATTGCCTGTTTAAGAAAAAACAAGAATGAATGAGCAATACTCACTGATATTGTTTGTCATATAGCAAATTCCTGCTCAGCTATATCAAGATGTAAATGAGACCAGCCATAAATTCATCCTTGGTATACAAGTCAATTTCACACCATGAAATAAAACACTAAAAGTACATTCTAAAGCAACTTTCAGCAAGGAATCAATCAAAAGCAAAGAAAAGCAAAGGTCTCACTCATGTTATCCTCACTGCCAAAGGACCACATACTCTTAATATAAAAGAAATATCTCTACTAAAAGGTTAAGCAACTGACAAGGTTTTCATTCCTTATCCACTCTACAATCCTCTTACTATTCTAAGGAATCACCAATGTTGAATGGAACAATTCTTTTCTATATTTAATTATTTTTAAAGCCTATTTATTTTTCCCATAAGAGACAGACTGACACCCCTCCATCAAGAGTCTTCACACTACTGTCCATTCCCAGCGTAGCCCAGCCAGGCTCACCAGCAAGTGCATACCTGGTGTGTACAGGAAGGACCTTGGAGCAGCCAACCCAGGACCTTCCCAAGCAGGTCAACTTCAGTTACTGCCTGTGTTTCTGTCTGGCTTTGAATTTTATTTTACGCTGCCCAGAAACCAGTGTCCACTGCTGTGAATGAAATTATGGCACTGCAAGAGCTTGGGATGAAGGGAAACCTGGGCTTCAATCTGATTGTTCTAAACATGCCCATACCACTACATTAGAGAAAGTATATTATGTGGGATGGACAAAGAGATAGGTAAAAAGTTCAAACCCACAGAGATAAGCTAAGGCAAGATCCGGATTCTGCCAAGCTTCTAACTAAACTACAAACCTTGAGATGTAAACAGCTCTTATTAGATAACAAGGCTACATATTTTTATCATAGACATCTTTTTGAGGAATTCATCACCAAATAGAAATGTGACACAAGTTTAGATAGCTTTGGGAGCCACTGTAATAGTGGCTAAAGAGGCCCTCTTCTTACCCATTCAATGCTCAGAACAGTAGCTGGATGACTCAAATCCCAGGCTGCAAAATGTAAACTTCTCTAAGCCTCAATTTCTCTCATCTAGCACAAAGGCAGTGGACAATCAAATGGAGTAACATATATGAGACACTTATATACTAGAAATTCTGTAAACGTTCTCTGGAAGAAAACCACAGTAACAATGCCCGTTTTCTCAGTATTTCACTTAACCTTTTCTGGAAACTCAATTGGCTTAAACTTCATGTCATCACTTCGCGATGAAAGGTAAGGGCTCTGTCTCCAGACAAAGACACACTACATAAAATACTGTATTCAATGTGAGGGGAAGTAAAACAATAACCCACTGAGATCTCGCAAAGAATAGAGAGACCAATCTTCCCACTTTATTCTACGAGAGAGGAGGGACGGCCAGGGCTAAACACACTCTCCCAAGACGGGACTCTCCATACACATACACCATCAACCCCATAGGGGTCCCGGCTGCGAGCCATCATCTTGGACTGGAGCACAGAAGCCACTGGACACCCCCGAGAAGAGTTCCTGTCCATGGGTGGCCGAGACTAGCGACGAGAAAGCCGAACTCTGGACCAGAAGTCTATTCCGGCCGTCGAAGCCCCTCTTCCTCGCGAGGCCACTGCCCCAGGTCCTTGCTTCCAATGGAGGCTGTGCTGGTGGGTACATGGGCGGTCGGAGTGGCCCAACATCGGCCTAAGACCTTTTTCCAGGGGCCCCTCTTACCGCCTGCCCGGCGAAAGCCGCCAGGAGAGACCCGCAGACTTAACCGTGACGCCGCCACCGCGGATCGCAAAATGGGGCCTACCCGATTCCCCCGGTCGCCAACAAGGTCCTACCCGCTTCGCCCCGTACCCGCACGCAAGAAGACCCTTACCGGACCCGCTGCCGCTTAAGATACCAGGGACACGTAGCACAGGAGCAAAAGCCAACTGAGACCCGCCGGAACCGGAAACCAGGCTTCTGACATCAGCCCGCCCACACCTCCATCCAATTGGCTCCCTAGGCTATGACATCAGTGCGCAGGCCCAGCGCGACCTGCGCGTCGGCCACGCTTCCCGGAAGAGGCGTGCTGAAGGCTTGATGATTGGCGCCCGAAGGGGACGTTGGCTTCCTTCGGGGTTTGAGAGGGGCGACCTTCCTGTTCTTACCCCGCCAAGTCCCGGGAGCTCCACCAACCCGACCTCGCTCTATTCGCGTTCGCGGCCCCACGGCCTCTAGTAGCCGCGTTTTAGGTAACTGCCTGATGAATGGATTCATTCGATGAGATGAAGGATTTCTCGTCAAGGTTTCTGTTTGCCGCCGTCCAGTATGTCTGCCTAGTGTACAGACTCCCTGTACGTTGTAACGTCGTTGGTCAAAGTAGACTCAAAGTAATACGATGGTGTGAACGACCTCATTCCAAATCGTCTTCCCGCCCCGACAGGGCTTTAACGTGTATTTTAAAAAAATTATGTCTTGGTCAGTTAAATTTTAATGTCGAAACAGTATATATTTTTGTTTGTTTGTTTGTTTTTGCTATAGGGCGCGTGCGCTCGACAGAGAGACAGGAAGCAAGAAATCACCGCCCCGGGGGACGATGGCCACGCCGCAGTCCCTTCTCCACCATTCTCTCGGGATCTTGGGCACACATGTACACACGCCTGGTGTGAGTTTAAGCCACCGGGTCCGGGACTCAAACCGCGGTCGACTACATGGGAGTCCAGTGGCATAGCCATTACGCTAACTGCTGGTCCCGAACAGTATTATTTTTTAATGTGGCTGAAAGACACTTATTTCTTGAGTTCCTGTATTTTTGGATGTCCCTATCTTTACACTTAGTTACTTGGATGGGTGTGAAATGAGTCATTACTTTGTTTTCTTAAGCTAAAATTTAATTAGTCCAGTATATTCCAGAACTTTTTATTGTTACTATTCTAGAAAGCATGTCCTTGACACAGAGAGAGACAGAGAGGGAGAGGAGAAAGTGGCCAAGAACCTGGGTATCACAGAAGCCCTCAAACAACAAAGGCACCCTCCATGGGGAATGGTCACACCTCAATCCCTTTTTCTTGTCTCTCTCCCTTCAGGATTTTGGGCATGGTTGCACATAGTACACATTTCTCAAGCTACAGGGTCTGGGCCTAGAACTGCATGCATGGTTTGGCCATGTGGGATCCAGCTCCCGCAGCCACCAAACCATGGAGCTGGTCCTGCAGTACTTATTTTTAAAGGCAAAAAATCTGATGCTAGCTTTATTTTTTCCATCTTTGTCACCTCTATGTCATCAAAGAACATTTTCTTTATGCCTGAAATTTATTGACAATCAAGATCTAACTCAATGAAAAGTGCTATTCTGTGTTTTTTTTTTTGCTACAATTTGATTCTTCGATTCTAGGAAATTCTGTGTTCTGCATCTTGTGATGTCCTACTTGATCTGTCAGGGTATCATTTTCAGGAGGCTGCTCTTTTGTTTGCTTTTCATTGTTCTTTATGCTTCATATATTCTCGTTTTTACCTTATTCCTTCTGAAGTCACTGTGGTTAGCTCAAGTGATTTTTTGTTTTGTAATTCAGTTTTTAACCGTCTATACTGTTGGGTTTTTTTTGTTCGTTTTTGCTGCAAGGTACATGTACTCTCTGGAGAGACAGGAACTGAGAGAAGGAAACTGAGAAATCACCTTTCCAGAGTGGATGGTGACACAACAATCCCTTCTTCTCCATTTCCTTTTTGGATTTCAGGCTCACACATACATGCACCTGGCATGTTTCTCAGGCCACCAGGTCCAGGACTCGAACCACAAAGTTGGCCATGTGGAATCCAGTGCTTCAACCACCACACCACCTGCTGGCCCACATCTATACATCTGTTCTGTTTCTTGCTTTTTATTTATTTACTTATTTATTTATTTGTAATTCCAAAGGGCATGTGCACATGGATGGGGAGATTTAAGAGAGCGAGAGAAAGCCCCCTCCCCATGGGGTCAAGTCACACCACCATCCTCTTCCCTCCATTACTTCATCCTGTCAGAATCCTGGGCACCCATGGACACCTGGCATGTTTTTCAAGCCACCACACAGTATCCCATGTAGAGAATGGCAATTACTAGAGATCAAAAACACTGAGCTGGCTGGAAGCCCTAGAGCAAATTAGGGTAGAGGAAGGAGCTAGAGAAGGAGCTCTGGAAATCTGCAGAGAGGTCCCCTCAGTTCTGTTGATGAAACCCAATATGAAGAGACTTCAGAAACCTCATGGAAAATAGGAATTTATGTTCAATTTCATTTTGATGCAAAACTTTTTTTGAAACAATATTTCATATTTTATATTTTCCGTGAACTTTGTTGAAGACTCTGTGTGTACATATATAGGATGAAACCATAGGCTAAGCAGACAATGGCGAAGAGCTGGAAAACATTGAGGTAAAACACTTGAAATTAAAAATCATGTCTAACATCCAATTGAAATTACTAAAGATGTCACAACAGAAAAATGTAACTCATGATCAAGAGAGAAATCAACTAATAGAAACATGTAGAAATAGCTGACATGAGGAAATTACCAGTGATGGTTATAAATCAGTTTATTATAAATAAGCCCCAGAATTTAAAGAAAAATAAGCATAATGAAAAGATCAATAGGAACTAACAACTCATCTAAGATGAAAAAGTTAAGGTATAGGCATAACATACAAACAATGGGGATTTCAGAAGAAAAGATCGGTACGTTTAAACAGGGCAACAGAAACTGCCATTGTACAAACTCAGAGAGAAAAGAAAATTGAAAACCAAACATTTACGACCTAGGGACAGAAGCATTCTGGAAAATTTATAATAATGGTCTCTATCAGGGTGGGGAAGCCTCAGTTTCCTACACTGACCAATTCATGGTCAAAGTATCCCCACTGCAACTGATTTCAGGGTACCAGTGAAAACATTTTCTAAATTCAATTGCTTTATGAACTGATGAGTCCAGTAAGTTCAAAACCTAAACAGGAAAAAAAAAAAAAGTAGAAAACCACAGCCGAGTGTATCATAATGAAATTTCTGAAAAACAGCGATAAAAGATGGTGAAGCAACAAATACACACACACACATATATAGATCCGAATCAATAAAGGGCAAATCAGCCCTTTAAAGTGCTTTATGGATAGGACCAACAGATGGCATAATGGTTACATTGCTAGACTCCCACATAGTTGACCAGTCGTCCATGGTTCAAGTCCTGGACCCAGTGGCTATAACTCACACCAGGCACATGTTCACACGTGCCCAAAATTCTGAAAGTAGAGTGGAGGAAGGGATTACGGTACGGCCATCTTCCCGGTTGGGGGGGTCATTTCTTGTTTTCTGTCTTTCCCTGTCTCTCAGGCAAACACACGTGCCCTATAGCAAAAATTTCTCTAAAATATAAATAAATAAATAGGGACCAGCAGGTGACATGGTGGTTAAAGGTGCTAGATTCCCACATGGCTGACCACAGTTCAAATCCTGGACCTGGCAGCTTGCTTTCTTGCTTTCTCTCTCTCTCTCTCTCCCTTTCTCTCTCATCAAATTGAAAGAGAATAATAACAAATAGAATTACATAAATAATTCTTTAAAAAGAAAATAAATAAGTAAATAAAGTACTTTATGGGAGTTGGGAGGCGGATGAGGTGGAAATACAAACCTAGACTTCTGCATCTGTGAGAAATGTCTCTTGAAAACTGAAGCATTAAGCTTTCTACCATGAAGGATAATAAGAGAGAAACTCTGAAGTAAGTAGAAGGAAATAAAAAGTGAAGAGTTGAAATTAATACACCAGGGATCATTAAACCCTAGTTGCAGGCACAAATCTGACTTGACACCTGTTTTTGTAAATAGCTTTACTTGAATGTAATTCCACTTATTTGTTTCCTCATTGTCTACTGCCATGTTAGAGAGGTTAGTATGGGCTGCAAACCTAAAATGTTTATTAGCCAGCCATTTACAGGAAAATATTGCTACCCCAGGAAATAGAAATAGAGATAAATCAATGAGGTTTAAAAGAAGATTATTTGAGGGACCAGCATTTGACATAATGGCTATGTTGCTGGACTCCCATGTAGTTGATCGCGGTTTGAGTCCTGGACCCGGTGGCTTAAACTCATGCTGTGCACATGTGTGTGCATGCTCAAGATCCCAAGAGGAGAATGGAAGACAAGGGATTGCGGTGTGGCCATCCCCCCACCCCCAGGGTGATGATTTCTCACTTTCTGTCTCTTTGTCTCTCTCTGTCTTTCTGGAGAGTGCACTCACCCTATAGCAAAAACCTCTCCAAAAAAAGATTTGAAAAATCAGTATTGATAAATATATTGCTGAACTAATTTTAAAAAATACAAAGTTCCAATGTCAGAAATGAAAGAGAAGACACCGCTATCAATTTCACAGACACTAAACTGGTAATGAGAGAACCAATGAAAACTTCTGATAAGATTATTGATATAAAAATTACTGTTAGAAAATGTGAATAACTATATGTATTAAAGAAATTGAATTCATAATTTAAGACTGCCTTACAAGGAAAACTACAGACCCAAATGTCTTCAGTGGTGAATTTTATTAAACACTGAAGAAATAAATAATAATGAAATGCACAAACTCTTTCATAAAATAGAAAACTAAATTTTTGTTGGCATCATCACTCTAACACCCAAAGCAGACAAGTATTATAAGGAAAACTACCACCAATAGTCCTCGTAAACCTACATGCAAAAAATGCCTGAAAAAACGATTAACAAATAGAATCGAGCTATAAAAGCATAATATATTATAACCAAGTAGAAATTTTCTTGGAAGTGCATGGCTGGCTTTAACATTTGGAAAATCAATGCAACTCATCATATTAATAGAATGAAGGTGGTTATGGGAGGTGTATTTTCTTCAGGATGAGTAGACAAAGTGCATTTGACAAAACTTGCTAACATTTATTACAAAAACATTTTGTCAAAATAAGATTAAAAGTGAACTTTCTCAAACTGATAAAGAGCATTTTTAGTTTTCAAAAATATGCAAGCATCACAATGGCAGAATACTGAATTTATTTCCTGTAAGACTGGGAATAAGTCTGTATTCCCATTATTGGCATTCAGCATTGTCCTGGAATGCCAATAAAAAAAAAATTAAAAAAAAAAAAAATAACAAGCCACCCTGGCCTTGGTGACTCAGCCAGAGCTGAGCCACATGGAGGACCCTGGTTTGAATCCTGGGTTAACCTGGACCGCATCAGCTGCCTGTTTGTG